AAAAAAAAAAAAAAAAAAAAAAAAGAAAAGAGAAAAAACCAGGAAAGAGAATCGATAGTTGCTGCGTTGAAAGACCAGTAGCTGGTAAAACGTGTTTGAAATCTTGTTTCGCCGTCAATAGATCCATTCATGGTGTCCCATGGACAAAGGCACGCGTGTTCCCAACGCTGGGAAACATTCGCGGAATACCAATTTACTGGTAACTTGCTAACGCAGCGACTGAAATTCAAAAAAGTGAAAAAAAAAAGAGTTCGACTCAGAAAAATTCTGAAAATAGATCTCGAAATGCGCAGTGAAATTTGACGAAATACGCGCGCGCTTGAATTTTCTATAAAAAGTGAAATACAAATTCAGAAACACGTTGGACGGGGAACCTATAACAAGACGTTCGCATTTCCTTTTTCCAGAATTATCCACGAAAGTGGATTCACACCTGAAGATTTCAAGCAGTACAGGCCCGTAGTTTATAGCAACACGATACAATCTCTAGTCGCTATTCTGAGAGCGATGCCAAATTTGGACATCAATTTTTCGACCAATGAGCGAGAGGTGAGTTGATGAAGCGGCACTTCCGGTTCAGGCGGCTTTTAACATCAACTATGTCATGGCGTGACATAAACCGGGGAATGGGGATATCTCAATTTTTAATCTGCATTACTTTGCAATAACATATAAACTACAAGGTGATAGATATTTATAAGCACTTTCTTCTTTTTAATTTTAATTGAATATTGCATTTAATTGCATATTGTTTCACAAAGTCAGTTGCACTTTTCATGTTGGTTACAATTCTGTGAAAGTTTACAATTTTTTTTAGAAGCCCCTATGAAATGCACGAAGAGTCACAGTCTATCCATCCTGCGAGACGGGCAGTTTCTTTTTTTTTCTTTTTTTTCATTGGGAAAAGCGGCGGGCGGAAGTGGGCGACGGAAGCGATAGAAATTAAAGGGCAAAGGTTACCGGTCTGCGGCTGAGTCAAAAATTATCGATAGGACGCGAGCACTTAAGCGATCGATGCGCATCTCGAGCCAGGGCTCTGAAGCACCCTCTTTGGAATATTTACCGATCGTGCAGCATCCGCGGCTGCGTCGTTTACCTTAGAGCCAATAAACGAGCCCCTGCCTCGAAAACAACGAGCACGATGGGCTGCCTCGAGTGCCGATTGATCCGGGCTCCTCGAACCCAGCGCTTCTCAATCTCATCTCTTCTCTTCTTCTTCTTCTTCTTCTTCTTCTTCTTCTTCTTCTTCTTTTTTCTTCTTCCTTTTCGGTTTAGTTGATATTTTGATTACGGTAGAATTCACCAAACCAGAGGGGATGATCAACGTGTTGGCTTTGTGGGATTGTTCTATCTAGATGTAGAATCAAAAGTAGAAAGTATTTTGACCAATTTGTCAATATGTCGTCGAAATTTCACAATTTGAAGCCCCCTTTCTTCATCGTACTACTGTAAACTTTCTTCCCCGTTCCTTGCACTTTCATCTTTTCTGATACCTGCTTCGTGTTTTATATTTCGTCATAGTGTGTTTGGATATCAATCTTCTTTGGATTGTTCTTTCACAAAAATACTTTCTACATTATGGTGTGAAAAGTAAAAATGATATGAAAAATATATAGGTTTATTTAAAAAAAAAAAAAAAAAGAAAAATGAAGAAGAGGAAAGAGAGTACAATAGGGAAAACACATGTGCGGTTCTAAAATTGTTGAATGGAAGAGCATAATAAAGCCGTGTACACCTCCACTTGCTCTCGTCTTGCTATATCTTAAGTGTTTAAGTAGTGTTCACTTGTTGAAGCATTTGGCAAGGGCGCATTCAAAAAGAGCGTAGAGTGCACATCCACTTCAGCATTTTAACCTAATTTAGATAGTACTTCCGCTTCTTAATTAAGTTCCTACGAGATCGATAAGTTTTTTTTTTTTGGTCTACTTTTTTCTTTCTCTTTTCCAATATGAGTGGAGAAATGTTCCTCACGCGTATATTTCTCTCATACAAATTTTCTCTCTTCAATACATATATATATATATAGTATTTCAATAAAAAAGATGCTAGTATTTATGAAAAAAATATAAATATGTACATAAAATGGATGAGCTATTACATCTTGATTCAAATTCATATTAGCTAATTTTTTAATAAATCAAAATGACCAACACAATCTCTGTAACAAGTAAATATTGATCAGACAAAGCAAAGAAATACAAAATATGGTTTTAATGTTACATGACAAGTACTTGTTTTAGAATTAATAAATTTACATTACATTTGTACATTGTATTTGTATTATCGTCTTCCAGCCGGACGCGAAAATGGTGTTTGACGTGATTCAAAGAATGGAGGACACAGAGCCATTCAGCGAGGAGCTTTTGGCTGCGATGAATAGACTCTGGGCCGACAGCGGGGTCCAGGAATGCTTTGGCAGGAGCAACGAGTACCAACTCAACGACTCGGCGAAATAGTGAGTAAATTTGCTAACGTTTACTTCCTCGGTCATCCCCTTGGGAAGAGTATTCCCAACTCTATACAAATAGATGGTTATACCGTAACAATAATCATCGTTACTGCGAGAAAGCTACATGAAGGTTGCATTTAATTTCTGTTTCTCAGTAATTTAAATTCTTAAACGATCCTTTTGTCTTTCGATTGGCTTACTTCTTAGTAATAAAGATTTGAGAGATGCGAGAGCCAGACGTCTAGCGTCTAGCAACCCGCTCTACATTTGTTTTATCCTCGTTGGCGTACAACTGCTTATTGTTAGTAAAGTTCATTACGTCGTGGATATATCCTACTAATATTTCAATTTCATTGAACTTCTCGAGAAGTGTGAACATATATTGTTCTATATATTTTCACTCGAGTTATCCTTTCATTTGGTGGATTTATTTTTCACGTTGCTGAAAAAAATCAACCTATCAGAAGAAATCTGTAGTTTTTTTTCTAGATAAAATATAGAGTTCACGAGATCTTTGAACAACTTCTCTGGCTGAAAGATAGTCCAAACATCAGGAGTGTTTCATTAAACTTTCAGGAAATCGATTAGCCATCTTTGTCAGTAAGACCTCGATACCATTTTCTATTAAACAAAAAAAAAAAAAAAGAAGAATATTTTTTTCGAGAAGAAACTTCTTTTTCACTCTGCTATTAAAAGTTGTGTAAAATGCCAAAGCGATTGTGCAATGTAAAACGGCTTAATCATGAAAGAGATACCATATCAAACTTATCTCTACTTACAAGGGTTTTCTAAAAGCATGAAATCAAACTTTTTAACTTGAGTTTTTTAATTCGTTTGACTGTTTAGCTAGAAAAGGAAAGATATTTTATTCTACTAATTTCTCAATTTTAAATTGCTATTTTAAATTAGAATCCTTTTTAAAGGATTCCTTTAGGATATACTTATACTTCATTCAATATGGTTAGAAAGCTTCTTTACTCTCGTTTGAAATTATGTAGTGTGCTCATAGTGTTACTACTTGCTAAGCTTAAACAAGCTTATAATCTTCTGGTTAATTTCTTAAAATAATTTCAACCGGTAGTTGAAATTTTGTTCACAGTTTACATCCACTCTCTTTAGATGTTTGTTCGCCATATTAAATCATCAAACAATAAAAGTAACATGAATCATGAAATATTATAACTCTGCGCAAATAAACAATTCATGATAGATCTCTATGAAAGCAGAAATGATAGATCTCTGTGAAAACAAAAATAAGTAGAAAATCTTGTTGACACTTCAAAGACAATAATATGTAAGATGTTCCTTTCCGAATGAAGCTAAAAACCACGACACAACTTCTCTATAAAACAGAATTAAAAAAAGGATAACAACAAATAGTTAAGCAGTTCTAGCTTGGAGGGAAAAAGAAAAGATTAAATTTTCTATCTGCTGAATTTTTAACTCGGGCACTGACACGATTTTACTATAGAGAGAATATTTACAAATAAGCTTAACCTAGAATTTGCCAAAGTCCTTGGTTCCTCCGCTACCTAATTTGGAGTATATCCAAATCTAATAGAAACTCAACCTTTCACGGCTCCATTCATATTCAGCAGCAGGGCCTGCCAACCGCCAAGAAATTAATTACTATTTGGCCGGCGACCAGTAATTCAACATCATTTGTAATTCTGTCGTTACTCATTCATATGTACTATTCATTTAAAGGCAGCAACTTCTAACTAATAAAATTACGTCAGAAGCTAATATTTCAAGTATGAGAAGGTTAGTCTTAAAATTTAAATAAATTAATAAAGTTGGCAAACCTGTTTCCACAATATATCAAGTCAAAAAGCAATTATAACGTTTGGCATTGAAAAATATGATATTCAGTTGAATAATGAAACGTCAGGACATAAAATACGCGTGCACAATGGCAATGATTCCGTGGTGAAGACAATAGATAGAGATTAGGTTACGTCTAATCCATCTAAAAAGCATAATACACGCTCAGAGATAGTAGCCTAGACGACAGTAACATTATATCGCGCAAAATGCGTGTCTTCGTACGTTTATACAATTAAAATGATGTTTCTTTTCTTAGATGGTAAGTCGAAATATTAAAACGACTCAAGTTGAGTTAGTTTACAAAATCGTACGCAAACAATGATAAAAATGATTAATTAATTTTTCGCAATCGGACGAGGTACTATGACGTCATGTGGCAAATTATTTAATGACCAGTGTTAGCAACCTGTTGTGTCCTGATTATAATGTGCGTAGCAACAAGCATCGAACGGAAGGGTCACGATTTGCTGCATTGCTTCTTTGCAGATATTTTCACGTGTTTCTGTGTAGTATAAAGCTGTGTACGTGTATTCTTTTGTCTTTTCTTTTATAAAAATCTGTTATATAAATATATAAAATATTATGTAGAAATAAAAAGAAATGTTTTAAATAGTTTCGAAGCTTCGATCAAATTAAATTTTGTATATTTAATATTGAGGGATATTTAAAATTTTTATATTTCAAAACACCGTCTAATTTAATTATAGTTGAGCTTCTTAATAGAATTTGAATTTGCAATACAGATACACGAATATTTTTATATATAGAGTTTTTTATTTTAACTAAATGTATCGCGAGAAACATTTTTATTTTAATACCCTGAATAATTTAGGCTTAAATATAGTTTAAAATTTAAATTTAGACTTCACAAGATACGAAGTAGATTTAGACCTTACGGCCATATATAGGGTGGGACTAAATTCACGGTACAATTAAGAATGAAATAATTATTTGGAAAAATGATATAGAATAAAAGATATAGAATGGAATTAATATTAGATTAACATAAATTAATATCGGCTCATTTAAATCTATTTAAATTTCTAACATTCTAATGTGCATAACCTTTTTTTCTCCAAGTCTTTAAAAAACTCTTGTGTGTTACTTTCAATGCATAATTTGCATAATTTGCAATAACCAAAAAGAGAAAAAAAAAAAAAAGAAAAAGAAAGAAAAAACTCCAAACGTTATGAAACGCAAGTGGATCTAACCTAAAAGCTTAGTCCAAATTTCAACGATTGTAGAGACAGGGCTCGAAATAGACCTAATTTCACGAGAGCATTAGATAATAAAAGTAAAAAAAAAATATATATAGTGCAAATGGAAGGATTCGAGCATTCTCTTTCGCCTTTTTTCCCCTTTTTCCTTCTCTCTTATTTAGGTTCAGCGGCGTATTGATCGCCGATGACGTCACGCCACGCCCGTATCACGTGGCCTAAAATGGCCGCCGACACCATCCCCACTATTCTTCTTACCCTGTCCGGTACTATGTTCCCTCGTTTTCACCCCCTACCCCCAATTGTTTCTCTTTTCATTCTATTACCGCTGCTTTTCTCTGTACGCTCAGAAAGAGAGAAAGAGAGGAGCAGAAAAATATAGTGATACGCAAGAATGTCGAAGCACAACGGGGCGGAACGTAGAACAATAGGGAGAAAACATCACTCGTTGTTGGAAAATTCGTAATAATTGGACACTTAATAATTAGGAAGGAAGACGGGGGGAAATAGGGCTAGAATGAAGTGAGAAAATTGGGTGCAAGGACACGAAAATTCTGACGGGCCACCCGATGAAAATAGTTTTTTCATGATTTCATGGAAACGTCCCCTTTTCTTGTTCATCCACTCAATTGTTTCTTAGAACTTTTTTAAACATTTTTATCATAGCCTGGAATTTTTTAAATTTGTACAAAAATGTATTATTTAGATTATAAGATTTGTATTACATTATTTAATGTAAGCGTGAGCGCGTTGAATACGCATAGAGCACCCCATATGTTTTAGCCACTGTGCCTTGTGGCTGTAAATTGTAAACGCCAGTAACTGAAGAGAGAATGATGTATGATATTTTCAGAAAGCAACTGGTGATGAAGCCACGTTATAGTTCACGCATACAGGGCGTGTAATATGTATGCACCGTGTCTGTAAATAAGAGATTTCTAAGAAACGTAAGCTGTTTCTTTCTAACTTAAGTTATTGGTTATCAGCGTTTTTTGACTTATTGACGACGAAACATGATCCACGCATGTAAATCTAACCTCAACCGTGTCATCGTATTGCACCGTTTGTTGTGAATTAAGAGTGCAGTGATTTCATATATCGAGTGTTTTATAAATGGCAAGTTGAACTTTAAGAAACATATATCCTTATAAAAAAATTGGAAAGAAAATAATCCTCATATCAATTATTGTTAGAAAAGAATTATTTCATACTATAATCTTATTTTATTCAAATTTTATTATATGAAGTAGAGTAGCATTATATTTATTATTAATGGAAAGGTATTACAGATAAGAATTTCGTCAACAATTGTTACTAAAGATTCAAGTGTTTAAATCCGTGGAGAAATTCGATTTGTACAATCGATTCCGCTTCACTAATTTACCAGACGAACTAAGCAATTATTAAGAAACTGTCGAGACCGAACTCTGCACGATATTTCCATCCGACGAATATTTTATTCATTTCCTCTACGACCGAAACGTGCTGTTTTATCGTTTTCTAATAAAAGTATGTCGCAACGGTGGTACAGAGCGATATCGAGCCTTGCGATTTTAATTGTTATAAACTTACAACGGTACGTACGTGTTTAAAACTGGAATCTGGAAAATTCATTCATAAGCAGTATTGTAATTTATGGCGATGGTGTATCCTGTCGCATCGTTTTTCCTGCAATTACTTTCATACAGATTTAAATTTGATGTGCCGGATGTATTAAAATGTTCTGTTTCTTTCATCAAAATTAAAATTTATTGTAAAATTTGTTGCTTTAAAATATCCAGACGAAATGGTTGGAAATTATTGAACAACTTGGTGATATTTTGTTATTTTATATTAATAGCGCGCCGTTTTTTTTTCTGGACACCCGATATCGATCCGCCTGGCCGATATCTATACGCGCGAGCCCACGAAAAGCAATATGAAACCCACGCGGCGCGATAAGATGAAAGTGGCTGCTCCAGGCTACAGGTGCAGCCAACTTTGGCAATGAATTACTAAATCACAAGTGGGAAAATCGATCGATCTCGATCTCGGTTACGACCTGAATTTAGAAGCGAGAAGAATGCCACTTGTCTTCATGGAGGTCTTGGCAACACTTCATGTCACGTGCACAAAGAGAACTGTATAAATATTGCAATCTTTTTTTTTCAAAAGGAATAGTCCATTGAGAAATTCGATCCAAGACATAGCGATAATAGTATAAAATTGACTAAACTTTTATTTTGCTATTAAAATTCTGATCTGTGACAGGGATAATAATTTCCCCAAGATCGTTCAGTCATTTTCAAGGTATTTTCGAAGACTATAACTAACTCATTTTCGTTTGAAAATTCCAGTTTCCTGGACGATCTAGACCGATTAGGGGCCAGAGATTACCAGCCAACGGAGCAGGATATTTTAAGGACCCGTGTCAAAACAACGGGTATAGTCGAGGTTCACTTTTCGTTCAAGAATCTTAATTTCAAGTAAGTAAGATAATTCAGATTTTCATAGTTGTTCTTCCCTTTTTTTTTTCCTTTCTTTCTTTAAATTTAAACCATTTCAAAGGTCAAAATATTTTTAGAACCGTGTCTTTGTATTTGCGAGCATGAAACATACCTCGTATTTCTTTAACAAAAATACGAAGCAAAAGATAGAATGAAATTTTTATTCAATGTTCGCGTTATATGTGCAGTTGCGCAAAGTTGGATACAATTGCAGGAGTTTTGACAGAACGTGTTTGAAATTATTCGTACACGTTATTGCTATCGCCAACTTTAATGATCTCAATGGTGAAAGAAAGAAATTGAATAAAGTGGGAGGAGAGGGTTAAGGAAAATGAGACAGAGCAATGACTTGCGAACGATTGAGCATGAATCATTGGGACGATAATTTAAGAAACACGAGCACGAGCATTCCTTCCTTCTTTCAATTAATCATCGCTCTTGGAAACTTTGCTACTTTGTACTTCACACTTGTTCGCTATTTGCATATCAACTATTATATATTAATTATAATTCATATAAGTTATAATTATAATTATAATTTACATATAACAGTATACGTAATTTAGGACTATTTATAATTTATTTTAGACATCAAAATGTAAAAAAAAAAACTGTACAAATTATCATGGTATTTTGTTTGTATTGATGAACATATTTAATTGGCGAGATACTCTGATCCCCTTATTTATCACTTTGAAAACTGCTTCTCTGCAGATTGTTCGACGTCGGCGGTCAAAGAAGCGAACGTAAGAAGTGGATCCATTGCTTCGAGGATGTGACCGCGATCATATTCTGCGTAGCAATGTCCGAGTACGATCAGGTGTTGCACGAAGACGAGACCACGGTGAGAATCTGTATTTTTATAAATACAACAAGTTTTGTTGCTCGACAATTCCTTTCCTTGATGATTACTTGCAGAAAATTCAAATGAATTCAATCAGATAAGAAGATTGTTTTATTAGTTTTACTCTTTCTTCGTTAATTTCCATTACACGGTGTGTACATTTAAAATAAAAGTGACGTGATATTGTATCACTATGCATACGCAAAAGGACAGGTGATACATATGTACTTCACACTGGTGAAATTCACAACAATAGAGTAATTCAAGGAACGCTAAACTACTCCTACACCTGCATCTATCATGTGAAGAATTTTGAAACTTTACATGTGGACAAGAACTGTAAACGTTAATTAAGAAAATTAATGTCACTTCTAATTACGATGTTTCTGTAATAGAGCATTGTTTTCTGTGCAAATAAAATTAAAAGTGCACGAGTGTTGTTTGAGGTAACACCTTTCTTGGCTAAGGATCTATCGCCTTAAATTATTTATAATGCTACACGGATATACATGTATGTAACTTATGCGCATGCATATAGAGAATTCTGCGTGGGAAGAAAATATGACAGACCGCAATTGTTGGAAATTAACGAGTTCTCGTGGAACGACCCCATCGATTAACCCCTCATTCTTTAGTCCACTGGAATGATTTGCTATTTACATTGTTCTACATCTTTTCCTTTATTTCTTTGCTTTAATATATATATACACATACACAAACACTTTAATATCTAATATTAACGTTATTATTATATAACATTAATTATATTCAATGTTATCATTTTATATAACAATGTTATGTTATTATAAAAAAGAACTAATAATTAAGAAAGAAGAATACGTTTTATCAGACCTTATCATCATTGTTTGTACGTTGATTGTATGTTACAGAATCGAATGCAAGAAAGTTTAAAACTGTTCGACTCAATTTGCAATAACAAATGGTTCACCGATACCTCGATCATTCTCTTCTTGAACAAAAAGGATCTCTTCGAGGAGAAGATCCGGAAGTCACCACTTACCATTTGCTTCCCCGAGTATGCCGGTAAGGAAATATTTCTCTCCCTTTTTATTTAGATTCGTGTAGTTTCATTGTTAATTTTTCTGACAATAATATAATTTGTGAGAAATAAAAAAAAAAAAAAAACGCATAAAAAAAAAGAAGAAGAAAATCAGCTTGGAAAAAAATTTTGAAAATCATAATAACAGTCATCTGTTGGTAAAGATGAAAAGTCGCATACGGTGTAAAAATAAACGCGGAAAGCTTTCATTGTTATAAAAAGTCTGTTGCCGTCCTTGGGATTCCTTCACACCACACAAGAAAGCCCCACATCCTCCTGTTTGAGGTATACTGATCTAAATGCGTATCGTTCGTCGCGTGTCTTCCGTCTTCTGAATTTTCAATACCAGCGTGAACATTATTTTTAGATAAACTGAAGAACAGAAAAGAGAATATCGCTTATTATCATTACAAATTATTTAATCTTGTTATTTTCTACGTTAATCGTATTATGGAATTAAATATATTATGGTATGATATAGTATAAATAGTATAGTTAAATAGCAGAGTAAAATAGTATATTAATACTATGGTATAGTATGTACTATAGTATAGTATATACATACTGTTAATATACTAGTATACTCACTATAGTATATAATAAGGTATATATACTGTTAATACACTAGTATACTATAGTATAGTATATAGTAAAGTATAATGTATATATATATATTTTTTTTTGTTAGTATACTAGTGTACTATATATATATATTTTTTTTAAATTCTCCAGTTATTAAATTTTGATTAATTTTTTTGCAAGATACCGTATATACAATCTGTTCATTGTTTGCCTCATACCTAGGTAAAGAGGTAAAATTTTAGAAAGTAATCTTTTTTTTTAAATTGCATCGTTGTTTCTTCAAAAAATCACGTTGATACAAACAGATTCAAGTCGAGAAGAAAAGACTCTCGACTCACACTCCCTAATTTGTACCCAACGTAACTAAAAGCTTCACATCGCGAGGCAGTTCTTAATCTCCGTCTGTCGGAGGGATGCAAATCTAAAAAAGAACTTCCTGCCAGATGTTACCAACCTCGTTTCGTAGAGATGAAATTCTCTAATTACTGAAAGGAACCGACTGTTTTAAACCCTTGCGTTCTTTAACGAAAAAAGAATTTACCAGGGACGTTTTGCTCTTGATCAATCGTAACCGTGTTTAATTAATTCTATAGCGAAGGAATCGACGTACCCATGTTGAATAAGAGCAGTGTGAATAAGACAACGTTTTCTTATCCGCAGGGGCGCAGGAGTACGGTGAAGCAGCCGCGTACATCCAGGCGCAATTCGAGGCGAGGAACAAGTCAACCACTAAGGAGATCTACTGCCACATGACTTGCGCTACTGATACAGACAACATTCAATTCGTGTTCGACGCAGTCACAGATGTCATTATCGCCAATAATCTCCGTGGCTGCGGTCTCTATTAGGATAAATATTCCCGTCGCGGAGCCGATCAACCGACACAAACTCACACTCACACGCATAAACACGACAGACATTTATTGCGAGAACGGGGGAGCGCGTGAGAATGAGAGACTGTGAGATTGTCAGCTGCCGAGAGAGAGAGAGAGAGAGAGAGAGAGAGAGAGAGAGAGAGAGAGAGAGAGAGAGAGAGAGAGAGAGAGAGGGGGAGAGAATTGCTGAAAGAACGAAACAGAGGAAGAAAGAGGAAGAGAGAAAGAGAGAGAAAGAGATGAGAGAGTACACCTATGTACCACCGCTACAAACTACCAACCACCTGCAGATACCTTCTTGATTTTTTTTTTTAATCAAATTAACCCAGTATTGTGCCAACCTTTTCAACCATTCTCCTTATCTTATTCGACGGTTTCGCAACAATATTCGCGCGATGCTGTGCATTACTGTGATATTGCCAAAATGACATCAATCAGAGCAGATCGCTCTCTGTGTAATTGTTTCACCATGCGGATTACTTTTTGCATTCCTGATAAAAAAAAGGAATAGGAAATTTCTGAGCCAGTCTTGAGATCTTGAATTGTAAATATGTCTTGGATTATTTTTTAAACTTTTCGTAGCCACTTTTCTGGCAGTCTGTTAGATCGATTGAAATGTGGAATAAGTTGAGGAATATGTTGAAAAGGGGGCACACAATGATCGATCCAGGTTTTTCGCGACAAATCGCACAAAGACGAATCACGAAGCACGTTTCTGGATCGCGAGGTCCATCCATCTGGTTTTTATTGTAAATTAGAGGAAAAACTTTGTTCAGGTAGAAGATCGAGTCAGGTAGAAGATCGACAAAATACTTCTTTTAACGCGTATCAAATAATTTTTAGTTGTTGTCAAATTAGTTTTCACGACTCCTCAGAACGATGAATGTTTCAAGATTCTTTCAAAAATACAGCACTTCTTTTACAATTAAAAAAAAAAAAAAAAAAAAAAAAAAAAAAGAAACAGAAATGAAGATTCTGGGAGATTCTCAATTTTCTACCTGAAAAGGAACATTTTCCTTTTTCACGCGTAGCATAATAACATCATTCAACTACTTTGACTTCAATTTGAACAAGCATATTACGTTCGTCGCCGATCGCACAAGCCGCGCACAAGATACCGACCGAAGAAACGTATATATATTTTTCCTCTCTAACGAAGTATTTTGTATTTCGACGTAACTCGACAGGTCGAAGATGTACAATATTATTATACACACCGTTCAGTTTTCGACCAGTTCTTTTCTCTAGTTCGGAAACTAGGAATCAGGGACGAAGCGCGAAAAAGCAGAGAGGAGTGAGATCGATGAAGCGAACAGCTCGATCAGAACACAGCGAGGAGAGAGGAAACAAAAGAAAAAAAGAAAAAAAGAAGAAGAAGAAGAAGAAAGTTATAAAAAGAAAGAACGTGAACGTCTCGACGTTGCATAGATCTAATTAAAAATTCGCCGTTGATTCGACGATGATTTCGAACTGAACAGGACAGGCGAAAAAGAATGTCTCTGTCACTTCTTCATCGATCGATTTCGTTTCGATTCATCATCACGCACACGATCGCACAACACACGCAAGTACACGCGCACGCACACGTATACACACACAAAGACACGAATGTGTATAAAGCATACGCAGAAGTGTTTTGCATTTGCGAAAATTGTGAAAAGAAAAGAGGAACGAATCCAGGGATCCTTGAATTTCCGAAATTCTCTTTTTTTTTCTTCCGACGATTTCAGTTACCTTCTCTTGCGCGTTATGTTTTTACGTTTCCAGCGGTTAAGTCAAGGGAGCTTTTTAACTCGACGAGCTCTTGATTTTTTCTTTTTTTTTTTTGTGACTGAACACCGCGTCTTTTTTACGCTTCTTTTTCATCGAAGGAATTTTTACTGGCTCTAAAAAAAAAAAAAAAAAAAAAAAAAAAAAAAAAAAAAAAAAAAAAAGAAGAAAAAAGGAAAAAGAAAGAAATGGATCGTGGATCGGTGCAGATCGATACATTCCACGCAGATTTCCGTTTTCTACCTATCCGTTTATCGATATTTAATGTTAACGCACACCAGCAGCCGCCGAAGCATAATTTGATCTATCAGTGTTCGAACGATATTTGATTTTTTCTCTTTCGAAAGGGGTTTTCACTCTCTTAGCGAAGAGCGAATTGCAGTTGCGACTACCAAACGTAGTTGCCAACGTGATTTTCGAAGAAATTTCACCAAAGATATTTTACTTAAAGATACCTGACATATTGCGAGGTGTAACATTTTAAGTTAGGTTTCCCCGTTTTTTCGTTAAAGCTTGCGATCTCGTGACATTTGTTACTTTTCGTTGGAAATTGAAGATTTTCTCTTTTTCAATTTACTGAAAAAGTAATTGCAATTGCAATTCATCGCTGCTTAATTGTAATGTAAATTGAAATATCGAGAGGCGTGTTTGACCAAAAAGAACCAAAGAATCGCGTAGAACAATAATTACAAGTGTAAAGAGGGAAAAAGAAAAAGGAAGGGAAGAAGAAAAAGAGAAAAAAAGAATATTCTCGAAATCAGTCTGAATTATGTATATACGATTATGGTAGAATTCTCTTTTTGAAGAAGGGTGAGAAAAGAATTTCATTTGTTTCATTTTTCTTTTTTTTTCTTTGTCTTCTTTTGAACTGTCAAAAGAAAGAATCGTTCTTCGTTTTCGACTTTTTCCTGATCTTTCTTTTTTTTCTCTTTTGTTTTTATATGCCGATCTTCGCGAATTATTTTTATATATCGTTAATTGGGTGTAGGAGGTGAAAACAAGATTTAAGAAGAAGAATAAGAAGAAGAAGAAGAACAAAAAGGGGAAAAAAAATAGTATTACTGTCACCGCCGTTGCCATATTACTGTAAAAGTTAATATATAAAGTTTAGGGGTTATCGATTATAATTAATTAAGTATTCCTATATGTAGTAGCCATAATTATGTATAAATAAGTACGATATATAGAACTTCTAGTCAAATAGAGAACGTACTAGTTCGTACAAAGATGATGTGTAACTATCGGGGAAGCGATATCGCTTTGATTTGTTTCTTTTTCGCAGCGAGGATTTTTACGATCTTTAAACTGTCATTAAATTTCTTTTTTTCAGTTCGTTTCGATGTTTGTAATCGATAATAAATGGACAGGAAGACGAAACTTTTATATTTATATACTGTACGCTGTAGGCTAGAATATTCGAGGCGCCAAATTTAAACTTTGGATTGACGATTCGATCGATTTAAAAGAAAAAAAAAAAAGGAAGAAGAAAAGAAACAGAAGCGAAAATTTTACGAGTTGAAAGAACCAAAGGAAGGAGAAACAACCGGTGAAGAGAGAGCCAAGAAATAACGGATAGATTGTAAATCGGAACAATTGTAGCAGAAATTGCAATCGATAACGCCATCTAGGACAAATGCAATGAATTAAACTGTGTGCAAGCAGTGAGAGCATCTTGAGAGTGTTCATTCTCATGGATTGTACAATCGAGGCTGCTAACGTGTCTCTCGCGGGTTGCTTCTGAATTTAAGAAGAAAAGAACAGAATACGAGACGAGCCACGATCGTGAATCTTCTTTATTTTCTAAATAATTTTCTATCGAGATTTTTCTACCTTTCCTTCTCGCTTGAATTATTCGTTCCTTCATTTATCTCGTTTAATTTCGTTTCGAGGTTCCTCTCATTTTTTCCCCTCATAGTGAAATTCAGGGATTTTTAAGAATGCCATGAACATCTATCGGTTGCACGCACGACGCGATAATGTATCTCTCGCCTCCGGGACGCTTTTTTATGCCACGATGTTTGAAAATTATTTTACAGAGCCAACCAGATACCGTTTTGTAACAAACACACATTCTCATCCGGCTAATTATTGGACTATGGCAGATCGCGATTTCTCGATCTGTAGTTAATCAATCTTGTTAAATCTGCAATCGGGTTAACGGACTACGGATCGAGAAATCGTCACTCCTTAACTATAATATCGAGAGGCAGCAGTTCACGGTTTGTAAGTTCCGATGAAAACTAGAAACTAAAAAAAAAAAAGAGAAAAAAAGAATAAAAAGCTACAAAAAAAAAAAATACGAGAAAAAGTTTTAGCAAAGAAGAGGTGACAACGCACGAACTAACAAATCGCGAGATGAGTAATAACGAATTAAGAAGAAAATAAAACGATTGCGAGATGAAGAGAACATTCTTGATAGAGGAGCTAGTCAACTTAATAACAAACGAAAATAATATTTTTCACGAAGACAAAAAAATAAAGAGAATCTCTTATTACGGTGAATATAGTACGAAACGAATGATGTGTGCACGAAAGAGAGAAAGAGAGAAAGAGAGAATGAAAAATGGGTCACAAGATGAATAAAAGAAAGGGGGGAGGGGAGATATAAAAATTCTAGCAACAGAACGAAACGGAAATGAAATAAAAGTACCGCGAAATGTGCAAAAAAATTCGTGTTTCGAATAGAGATGGGAAGGGATAGAAACGCAATCGACGACAAATTAATTTGCAACTCGGTATTTGAATATGGCGCCACGAACATGGTTCCTGGGTGGGGGGTAGGTGGCCGCGCGTGGTGGGGATAAGCAAGTGAGCAGAGCAACTAACACTAGTGTTATTGTCGTAATTGTAACGATTAATGGTAACGATCATAATCTTATCGATAAACGCTAAATGATAATAAAAGATGACGTGGGATGGGATGAAGAAATAAAACGTGAAAAGAAATACATATTGCGAAAGGAAAGAAAGGATACATTGTGGGTGAATATATATCGTTTATTACTTGATCGTGAAACGATAACGTTGATGATGATACTGATGGGAATTAATTAATGCACCCAGCCGAAGAAAGGAGGGAAAAGGAAAAAAAAGTCATTTCGTAAAATCGTTCGTAGCAACTCGACGAATCGACGCCGTTTCTTTCTTACTTTTATCTTTTCATTCTTTTATCGTGAAAGTGAGAACGAATGAGAGAGAAAGAGAGAGAGAGAGTGAGAGAACGAATGAGAGAGTGAAAGAGATATTGAAATTGGAGGAGGGAGTGGAGTATAAGTGTAACAAATCCAAGGGGTAAGGGGTAATTTTTTTCGGGGTAACGAGGAGGGGGAAGCTGCGAGAGGAGGATGCTCTCTCATTATACATATATAAATATATATAATTATTATGTAATAATTGTCCATACATCTTGAAATGTCGAAATAAACGAACAAAGAAAGATGAACGATTTTTATTGTCACATCATGCTGTGTTTTACATATGTATATGCAAGAAATGAATAAACAGTGAGTCAAAGATAGCGATTTACTTTTGTGGTTGCTGTGGGTGTTGCATCGTGTTTCATTTCTCTTTCTCTACGTATCTTGAGAACAATCATCTCCATTAGATTTCCATTCTTTATTCTCCATTCAGGGCTCTTTTTAATTGTTCCAATATGTATTATATGATAATTGAAGAGAAAATAACATATTAACATTTACATTTATTTTACATCTATTCTTTTATACTTTTAATTATATTATATATTTTTATTATATAATTACATCACATAATTTCCATTCTTCACTCCATTCAGGGTTCTTTCTAGTTGTTCCAATATGTATAACATAATTGAAGAGGAAATAACATATTAACAATTATATTTATTTTACATCTATTCTTTTATTATCATTCATTTGTAATATGTTGCCCCCTGTTTTGATAATTCGGCATTATTATTATTCGGTCCACGAATATATATTCATACACACGCCAAAGTAATTTCACTCTAATCTTAAGACATTAGGACGTTTCCTGAATTGATTTCTAGGTAATATTTTACAACAATTTTCAACATTTCGCCAAGACAATAAAATTGCCATTTTCGTTTCATTTTTGCTGCGAGACGTTATTCCTGTGGTGTTTGAGAAACTTGCAGCGTTTGAAACAAAGTTACGTCAGCATTTAAAAATTATTAATTAGTTATTAATTTAACGAATAATACGTAGGTTATGACACTAGTCAAGTAAGATAGGCGTAAATATTATAAAAATTTCAACATCCTTGTAACATATACAATTATTAAATGGTTTTAATAAAGACACATTTAAAGGTAATCAATCGTTTAATTTTTTAATGACCCGTCCCACAATCCCAAAATGACCAACAAGAATTTCCGACATCTGTATTACATTGCCACTTGCACAGATGTCAAATATTTGAAATTTTCCCTCTGTTTGTAAATTTCGTATGTTTATTTACATTTTTCTTTGTTTATTTACATTTTTCTTTGTTTATTTATATTTTTTCTTTGTTTATTTACATTTTCGCTTGTTTATTTACATTCGGAATGTAAACAAAGAAAATTCGCAAAAATTTTCGAAAATTTCGAAAAATTTTTCGTCTGTTTACAAATATAGTTTGTTTATTTACATTTTGGTTTATTTATTTACATTTTCATTTGTTTATTTACATTCGAAATGTAAACAAAGAAAATTTCGCCAAAATTTTTGAAAATTTCGAAAAATTTTTCCTTTGTTTACAAATATCGTTTGTTTATTTACATTTCGGTTTGCTTATTTACATTTTGGTTTGTTTATTTACATTCGAATGTAAACAAACGAAATTTCTCAGAATTTTTCAGATTTTCCTTATTCTAAGATCTCTTGCTCTAATTTTTGAGATTGTCAGGGAAAAAGGATCGGAGGGAGATAGAAATCGAAGGTAAATGATAAAACAGCTGGATTCGTCTTAAAAGAATAAATTTATTCAATTAATGCAAATTACAATTGAATTGAATTACAATACAATTTACAATTAAACGTTTTATCGTACAATTATTCCGTAGGAGTGTTAATTCGTTTATGGACACTGAAATGCTAGCGCCACGTAGCGGTAAAACAGTGGAACTAAACGCTATCTCTGTCTTTGTCGCGCACTAACTCTTTCCTTGTCTGCCACGAGGATATATCTGTCCTTGTCGCACACTAGTTCTCTCCTTGTCTATCACGCGGATATCTCTGTCCTTGTCGCACACTAGCTCCCTCCTTGTCTATCACGCGAATATATCTGTCCTTGTCGCACACTAGTTCTCTCCTTGTCTGCGATAAAAGTGCTGCCATCTATCGGATTTTTCCAATTTGCCCTTTTAGTTCCGATAAAAAATCGAGTGGCTCAGATGGCAGCACCGTCGATAGACAAGGAGCGCAACACTGTACGACAAGGACAGAGATATCCGCGTGATAGACAAGGAAAGAACTAGTGTGCGACAAGGACAGTTATATCCGCGTGGCAGACAAGGAAAGAGTTAGTGTGCGACAAAGACAGAGATAGCGTTTAGTTCTACCGTTTCACCGCTACGCGGCGCTAGTATTTCAATGTCCACAAATGAATTGAATTTTCAATTACAAAGAAAACTAATTAAACGAATTAATTTGTGAACTTTTGCGATTGTACCTTCCTGTTTGGACCCCAACTTTATTTTATTTAACTCTTTATTTTAGTATAACTTTGAAATACATGTATAAATTTCATACGTATGTGACTCATAATAAAATGCCCCCTATGTTAGTTCTGATGTCTTTGAACTCTACATGGAGAATTTTTTATTTGCTTATACACCTGAAGAGTATTCTGATAAAATTTAGCTGTTAAAACCTGAGATACCCTGAGATACCTGAGATACCCTATATGAAACTCATCATTGTCGACGTTTACTAATAACTCTATTATCAGCTACTGGTTATACTGAATCCATTCAGGTTTCTGAAAAATGGCATGTTGTCAAAGTTACACCCCAGATTATTTTGCAATAACTGACATTTTGTCAACAGAAGAGCGAATATCTTGTAAAGTCGAAGTAGAACTACCTGGTTTAGGTAATCTTTCACTTACTTTTTCATTGTATTCGCATGTGATCTACGTATCATGTACTCTTGCGTATCACATTGCATACAATGCTTAATAGAAACAGTGTGTATAATGTTATTGATGACATAAACGTACTCTGGTTTAAGGTTTCTTGGATTCTTCCTCTCAGTCTGAAGACTTGAAAGTAGGAACAAAAGTAGAATTTCCATTGTGGCTGGCAGAACCATTGAAGAGCCTCCAAAATTCAGTAGTCAGCGTTGATGTACCAAAGATATACAAGGAAGGATATAGGTATTGTTTGTTCGCTATAGGTTCACTATAGGTTTATTTATATTTTTCAAAGGTGTAGTCTGTGCATACTGATCTGCATTATTCGTGTTTTATTAGAGAAATCTTGGAAGCAGATGCTGAAGTTATAGTTTTAAGTAAATGGAATCCATTTTATTATGAGCTAGGAATGCACGTAAGGAAACTCAGTGACAGAGATTATGAAATAATTTCAGAGAGCTTGTTACAGGTAATTATATCACAGTGAAAATAAATACTATGCTCTTTCTTATTTCTCAATAAGGTACAATGCTTCACAAGAACACTTTTTATGTGGACATTCCTTATGAATATATCAGGCATTCTTAGTATTCTGAAGTTTCATTGATAAAGAATTAAACGTTATTTCAGACATTCAAGTCTCGTTTCCAATTAGTTATGGATTGGTCTCAGAATGCAACGTCTGACCCTACATTATCAATTCAACTTCCTCGACTCGAAAGAGATCTTTTCCTTATCGGTCAACAAGCCAAGATTCGTCTTGTAGAATGGTTAAAAATGGGCACAAACGAATTGGTCGTCTCTGAAATTACGACGAATTTGAAAAAACGAAAACGGGATCAATATGAATTTGATTAGTATTTTTATTTTGCAAAGGCAAAGGTCCAAGGCTTATAGCCAAATTATTACACAAATATCAACCATGTAGATCGAAATGGATTTACAAATTTTGAGAAAAATGTACAAAACATTTTATAATGTAACTTTTTTAAGTCATATTCAAAGCGAACAAAGATATTATTATTTTATTGTAAAAAACTGAGAAATATATTAATGTATCTAATATTGTAATAAAGATTTCTTTATCTGTTTATTTAAGATTTTCTTATAAAATTATTTTGAGTACAGTAAAATTTAAATTGATGAAATATTTTATCAAATTATATATAGCAATAAGTTGAATATCGTTAACAACTGAAATTTAGATCACCCGGTATATTTTTGGCTTCTGAGTTCATTTAAAGAGTAAAAATGACAGTGTATTAAACAAATGCTTGAGTAGAAAAGTTGTGAAAAAATATGTATAAACTGTTATAAGTTTTCTTTTTATTTAATTCGTCTCCTTGTTTGCTAATCGAAGTACTATCATTTTTACTGATTTACAATTTGTGTATTAGCATATACACATGCTACATACTCTACAAACTCTAGCTTCATTTTTATACATTATATTTTACATTATGTACTATCAATAATGTTACAACTTATAATATTGCTTTAATTAATTAATTAATTATATTATTCCTTCCTATCCATGGTCATAAATATGAAATTTAATAGAAGTCGCGAGGAACATTTGAAATTAGTAATTTGTGTTCTGAATTATTTTCTTCTTTTTAAATAAAATATTTTTGTTTTAAATTGTTTTTCCCATACCACTGTCATATTTAATTTCATTATCACAATTACTTTAATCTTATAATATAATTTGTAGTTAATTTTAATTTTCAGTTTATAATAAACTATTATTGAAGACTGGCCTTCTTCTGACTTTTTAAATTTTCCTATCACTATATTTGTATTTTATTTATTAAATACAATAGTTTAAGTTACAACTTCGTGTGAAATAAATTTTCAAATTTTATAAAAATTTTTTACAAAATAATTTTGACAGATTTTATTCCAAATGTACATAGAATATATGAACAAAAATACGCGTACTCCTCTAAAAAGAATTGCATTGCAATGGCGCGTGCTCTTTTCTTCATTAAAAGAGGTGCTAACTTGATAATTAGTTTTGATTTTTTATATATGGAATGTCATTTTTTGTGCACAGGTTTTACTAGAAAGAATTTTTAAATATTCATTATTATCTTTTTTACAAAGTTTCTAGAAAAATATTTCTCTAAAATATCGTCGGCGTGATAATATTTAATAGCATAAAAAATTTAATAGCACGCACATATTTCATTCATTATTCAAATAAATATCTTAATATTAAATTTAAAGATTCTGTGCACTCAATGTGGAGAAATGATTCTACTTTAATTTAAAAGTTATTTAACATTAGAACCTAACAAAATTATGAATAAAAGTTTGAAATCTTAATACGAAGAGAATGGTTTAGAAACAAAAACATGTTAGATTTTAATACTAAATAACATCATGTGCTTTAAAAAATGTCTATATTAGTCCTTCATGAACAAAACTTAACTAAAGTGTCTCTTATATGTTAAACGAATGAGCATGATATTAAGGTGCATGTATTTAATAAGTCTAAAATTTCTTATCCGATTGGCAAAAGTAAAGAATATTACCATTGTAATAAAATTCTAAATATAATTCGAATAAATTTATTTACAAAAATCATATACTTTATATTGGCACATTTTCTAAAAAGTATTAGATTTTGAAATGACGATTATTTTGTACCCTGATCTTTGTATAGATGACATTAAAGTTTCAATAAAAATTAACGTGTACATAACTTACTCTTACAAAATACTATGTACAATATTTAGAATCATGTTGCACTCGCTTACACGAATATCTGTCGACGCGATACAAATAGATGTTCGATATTGCATATTGTTCAAAATCGTTCTGAAGAAATGTAATGTAATGTTTAATTTATAAAAGCATTTATAAAAATAGTCATTATCATCATAATTAACGTGTATATATAATACAATGCATATTCTGTATATAACAGGAATAACAAGATATTTTATTGCGGTAACAAAAATATTCTCTGTAGGAATATATTATAAATAATATAATTAATAAACCCTTTGTATAAATAACAATACGCTTATCTCCTATGAATATAACAATTAAAATTCATGACTGCATTCAGTGGTCGGTCTATAATTATGTGACTGTATAAAACAGGATCCAATTAAACAAAAGATCTATTTCTGGAGTTAAAAATCAAAAATAGACAAAAATGCAGAGTTAAAATTATACAAATCCGAATAATTATATACATACAATTTTACATATCTTTTTTTTATTTTTACTCCCCCCACCCCCTAAGTCGAAGATCATTTGTTTAATTTCGATGATATTTAGAAAATATGATTATTAAATATTATGCAATAAGAAAATTAATGTCATTACGTATTTAGATTAAGTTTCTAGTAACAAAAGTATCTTACTACTAAATATCAACCGATTTTGATTGAGGCTTACGATTAACATGATTAAAGTGATTAATTGAGCAATTGATTGAGCACGACTTTTACTCAATAATCAGAAATTTGATTAACAATTCTGATGTTCCTTAGCCTAGTTTTGAAAAATATCGTTAAATTACAAACAAAATTGCACAATGAATATGAACGCATTGATGGTCGATAAAAATATTTTCAAACATTAAGTTGCACCATTTTAAAACACAGCAAATTTATTTATAAACGTAGCGTATGAATAGAAAAACATGTTTCGTTTATTTGTGGGGATTATCACTAGCATCTAAAATTGTTCAAAAAGATCACCAGAGATCGTTAGAAAAATCTGAGTTTCACGTCGCAAAATTGATAAAAATTTAAGAAATTCATTCGTATTCTTGGGATCTCCTAAAGAATTTCGAGATAATTTCCCAAAAATCTTTCGAGATCTTTAAAAACGTTTGAAGACAGTCTTACATTTCATGCACCATCTTCTTTTGATTCGTTCAAACCGCAAGTATTCGGGAAAAGAAAAAGCAAAGTCGAAGAGAATCATTTCAAAAATTAACGAATTCTAATATATAATGTTAATTTTAGTTAAAAAGACAATGTATTACAAATAATTTGACATTTGTTAGTGTTTCAATTATCCTTCTTTCTTTTGCAATATTTGGCTTTCATTTGAACATTTGAAAATCAATCGTCCAGAGGAAGATCCTGATTTTCATGACACTTGAAAATCATAAAAATCTCTCAACGATCCTTTCGTGGTATTTTTACGTTCTTGTACAGATATTTTAGAGTTTATGCGCCGGTGATTATCCATTCTGCTAATAAATGCACCAGAATTTTCCAACTTCAATGTTTTTAAACATTGTTAAAAAGTTGATTCACTTTCAAGACTGGGCTCCTGCTTGAACATTCTGAATCCAGTAACACTAGTCACGTCTTCCTGACTCTGAATGGAAGTAAGATCTCTCAGAATCATAACGGGACTTCCACCAGCCAGCATATGATCCTGAGGGCTTAACGGAGCCAAGTTGGTTGGTGTCAAAGGGCTGCTGGGGCTCTCGTTGCTGCTCACGTAACTACCAGGGGCGTTTGAAATTGGAATCGGGGTGGTAATGCCGTTTATCTCCGCTGTTGCGCCACCCAGAAGCATCTCCTGCAGCAAATTGTCAATGTGTGCGACTCCAAACAGTCTGACAAACTGGATTTGTTCGATCATCTGCCAGGAGATGGACTGTAGAGCTGGTAAGGTCAGGAGAATCTCGCCAAATCGACCACGGCTGTCGTATTGTCGGTCACTTATGTAATCCTCCAAGTTGATCTGAATTTGGTAACGCAGCTGCTTGATTCGCTGCGGTTCGCTTAAGCCTTTCGCATCTATCGACAAAAGAAAAGAAATTCCTTTGAGTTAAGAATGATATTGATTAATAGGGGGGTCCACGATATTAATTGAAATAAGTTCAAAACGACCGATTTTTCTAAATATTTAAATATCAAAATTTATTTCAAGACTGTACAAAAACAATCCCTTGCACAGGATGATGAAAACTTTTTTTCATCAGTCAGAGAATAAAAATATTGCATTCAATATTGCTTTAAAAGGAAATACATCAATATCCCTGAGGCTGGGCAAACCTTCTTACATGAACAAACATAGGGTAGCCAAAGCGATGAAAGTATTGGAATAAATTAGAAGCGGATCAGAGGTAAAGATGAAAAAGCAGAACAGGCCTTGCATTCGCTTGCAATTTGTTTCGGCATGGCGACGATGACCGCGCCGATCATCAATTAAATCTCATTGAGACAATCGTTCTCTCGCGTGCCGGCAAATCTTCGCCGAATGACACGCAAATTCTACGTTGTTCTTCGACCTGACATAATCAATGGGATATTACCAAAGATTATCTCGGACCCGAAAAATAACCGTGGTCGAAAGACGTTCGATCGACTGTTCGGTCTTGCTGTTCGTCTCTTTCACTAGAATTACCAATTTTTTAGTTTAATAACGAAAATAATAAAAATTTAATTTAGTTTAATAGTTTATCAAATTTCAATTGCAATTGCATCAAGGCTGTGTATCAAAAAACTAAATTCAATGGTAAAGAACGGAAAATATCCTGCAAATGCTTGACATTGTTCAAAGAAAGTACATCACTTGTCAAAGAAAGTACATTTCCAAGAATCAAACGTATTTCCCTTTTTTTTTCTTTTTTGAAGAAGAAGAAGAAGAAAAAGAAGAAGAACGTAAGTGAAATAAATTCATATTCCTGAAATTTATATGCGTAAGAGCATTCTCTCAAACATCATTGGAGTTTAACAAGTTACCAGTATATTAATAAATTGAAATATTTGTGAAGCTTTGGGATTAGGTATTAAATTTTAAACATGGACATGTTTGTTGAAAATAATTGCAGTGAACAGTGTTTGTTTATATTAAATGCAATAAAAAGCTTCATACATTACCACAAATGAAAAGGGTTTCATTTACTATTATGTAGAAGGAGTTAATGGTGACAAATGGTGATTTAATGGGGAACAAGTGAGCGAAAATGAACAAGGGGTAAATAATGGAAGGGGGTATATACAAATAATAAGAAACGAATGATAACTTCTTATTTCTTGAGATAACAAATATTATACCACACAGAAGAATTTCATCCCCTTGAAACGACAATAAGAATATGTGAAGAAATGTGTTATTCATATTATTCAGATCTTAGAGATAATGCAGTTGAGTCTAGACTGGCCTGTATTATTTGAATTGTGTGAATACTTACTGGGATCGAAAAAGACGATGGCCTTCAAGCAAGCAAACTCTGTATCATCGATCTGCACCTCGTTCAACGGCTTCACCAGTTCGTCCATCACTCTGATTCCAACTTTGCTGATGTCCAGATCTTGATTACGGCCCTCTGCGGATAATGATATGACTGATAAACACAGTTAAGCCATTCCTATCAACACTTAATACCATTTGACTGAGCCCGGATTACCAGTTGGTGAAGTATTAAGAGAAGCTGTGAAATCGACAATCATAACGTCGAAATGAACGAACCTCTGTCTGCACCCATGCTACTGTAACCAGCAACGTGAAGGCCGGACTCAGTCTACTAGCTACTACCCCAAAACACATTGGTCGTGCAGTTTGTTCAACGAGACTATCGATAATTTATAATTTGTGGCAAATATTTGAATAATTGTTTCGCTATATTATACCTGTTTTTTAAAAGAGGAGAATAGTAAATCATTTTCTTTTTTTTTATGCTGGTAGAGAAAGTAGAGAAAACAAAACTGACAATTAAATATCAAAAGAAAAATTTTTGAACGTTAACTTACATTTCATTATGAATAATCAATAATCGTATCGATTGTCTCATTTGTCACCATGTCAATACCAATTTTGATGTTAGGTACATGTTTACTTCCCACAAAACTTCAACAGAGATAAGTTGTACTTAATTTCTAATGACATGAAAGATGAATCAGCATGCAACATGTTATACACAAGCTATGTTTCTTTCTCACCTATGTTTTCCTATAATTATGCCAGACCTGTTTTATACAAATTATTGCTAAGAAAATTACTGATCCAAAGTACGTGCTACATTTTGCTTAGAACAATTATTTTGTACTAGGCTAAGTAAGACAAGTAAGTCAGAAAATTGCAGAAAAATTTAAAAAATTAGTTTAGTGGCATTTTCACTTTAGTAGCTGCTCAATCTTTACCTTTATCTAGATAATTATCAAATGAATTACAAATCATGAAAGTAACGTTTCTGATGGAAAATGAATTGTAAAAATACAAATCTAAAAAATAAGATATTCATCCGGAGATTTGATTGAAAACAATTTTGAAGTACTTGAGATAAAGGCATGGTAACAAGATTAACGTGTTATCGCAAATTTGGGATAATTTAACAATAAAGTTAACAGAAAAGATTGCAAAAACTTAACTGAAATATATATTTTAAATATATATATATAAATTTTGAAATATATATTTTAATTCAATATCGATTCGGAGGATATTCCGTATTATGTTCTCAAACGCTTTCTTAAAACGTGATTTATTCTTATCACTCCCAAGACTAGCAATCTATTGAAATCTTATCTGTCGATGACATCAACAGATGGAATAATACGATGATATATTTATTATGCGTCGGGATAATAATATTTTCAGTTGTTTTGTGTCAAACTGATATCGAGAGCTACGGAGAAAAATATTTTGATGCGATAATCAATTATTGATAAGGTTGTTAAGCGAAAAATTCTCTCTTCATTTCTGTTCCTGAAACTTGATAATTTTTTTCAAATAAAATTTATAAAAACCGTTGCCAAGTTATTTGTTAAATTCTATTATCACGTGAATTATAATGAATTATACGTGACAAGAGCTGTACTCCGAATTAATTTCTACTCATATTTATGATTATCTCGTTCAGAGATATAAAAATTTTCATGGGTTTTTAAATTTAGATACCAAGGTGAAGCCCAAGGACGTTTCAATGAATCAGAATTATAGAAGCTCTAATGACGTCTATAATCATTAGTGGTTGAATGACGTACTGTTCAAATGAGGTGGAAAATATTTGACGCATAAATAGAAGCATTTACTTTATCAACTAAAACAGTTATAAATTACAGAGATATAGAGGTATACTTTAGATCCTACGTTGAAATTGATAATAGTGAAAGAAGAACAGTTGGTAACTGTTTTGGAGAATCTTATTTATAGTTTAATCTAATTATATGTATTTGTGAGATTATACAAAAGAGATTATGAAAATGAATATTGTCAAAAAGAGATTATGAAAGTATATTGCCAAAAGTTGTAAAGCTATGTGATCACTAAAATAATTAGTGAATGAATGTTTTTAAATGATAATTGAACCAGTTCCAATTATATATATTAACAATTTCAGGTTAGTCTATGTAACATGATCTATCAATCCCTTGATGATAATTTTCCTTATTATGGAAGTTACTTATACATGGAAGTTTTTCTAAAAATTGTTACATTACAATGATTACTATCAGATTATTAAATAACTTAATTCAATTTTCATTATCATCAAAGGATTGATCATAACGAAACACTAAACCAACACCCGAGAAGAAATCGCAGAATAACATACCAGGACAATTCTTCGTTATGATACAGTTGTTTCCAAGAAGAAGAACATCTTGCAATTGCATGCTACGCCTAGCAACGCCTAGAAGAAGATGTTCACCCGCGTGTGCCCTCAGCAGTGCCACTTGATCATCAAGAGTTAATTCGCTGAAAGCGGGTATATACTTGGCCCATTCGACCAGGATCAGAAGTTGCTGTTTCATGCTGTCGCAAACATCATTTATGTTGGCGATTTGCTTCGTGCTCAAGTCGATATCGCTGCTCGGACTGCCTAGCTGTTTAAACATAATCTCGAGTTACTTATTGCACGATTTATCGAATATATATTTCATTGAGTAGTGGACTGCGGATTTTTACTTTATTTGTTAAACGTAAAAGAAGGCACATAATTTGCAAAAATATATAAAAATGCTCAACATATAATATTTAACAGATAAAAATTTTTTTGTCTCTTTAACATATTACATGTATTATAAGGTAATATGATTATTTTCAAAGGATCGATAAAGTTGTTTATTCAATGTAAAATCTCATTCGTGTTTAAATAGTTCTTACAAACTGACCTCAAGAGCAGCACCAACTTGTCTACTGAGCATTTCCGCCTGAAGAAGGGAAACGACAGAAAGTCCACTTCCGTTGTTGCTCTGTTCTTCGTAACTTGGTCTCCTACAGCTTATCCGATCCCTTTCATTTTGTACAGCTGGAACAAAATACGAAAATAAAAAAATTCATTTGACTCTGACGATGATGATGACTTATAATATACACGACTGATTCATTTTCATAATCTCTTTTGTACGTTGCTGGTAAATTTACTTTGAGTCATTAATTAACTGTTCAGCATATTTTCTGGAATTTCTTTTCTTTTTTTAATTCGTTGTTGTTGTATATGTATTGTAAAGAAAAAATTACTACATAAATAACCTAAGTAGTTTCCTTTACTGATAAAACTGTCTTCTATATTCGAGTTTATTATCCCACAGAGGTGGATTGTTAATTAACGACTCAAGGTGAACGTCTAGTCTCTTAAAAAGGGAATAAAATATTAGATGACTATTATGATCTTCCACAAACGATATAAGAAACGTGAAAGATCTTGGTCTTAAATTGTAACTTTTTAAAATTAAGTGTATATGTTTTTCTATGATTTCTTTTTATCAATAACAAGCAAAGAGCTCAAAAAGAAATGATTCATTATCGAAAGTAGAAAATAATTAAAATAACTTTAATTTTGCTCACCTTCTTTTTTCATGCCAGCCTTGAAACATTTCCTTAATCTGCAGTACCTACATTGATTTCTCTTGTCTTTGTCTACTACACAATTTCTATTGAATCTGCAACAAAAAGGATATACATTTTCAGCTATCGCTATTGAAGAAATTTCAAAAAAAGTAAAACTCTATGTATCATTAATAAGATATTGCGTAAGAATAAAATATTACGCAAATCATAGAGGTTATCAGTCATAAAGGTCATTAAAAAATGTTAAGACTACAAAAACTTTTTATCTAAAAAATTTCTAACCGCTTATAAGTATGATTTTCGATAATTCAGGCGTATGTTATCTAGCTTCTAGATTTCAAAATGCTTTCAATTAAAACGTTGAAAATACATTTTCAAATAATTCTTCATCTCGGTTGATATTTAAATTAAATTGTTACAATCTATTGTAAATACAATTACTTAATTTTTTAAAATAATTTGTTAGATGCATATTGAAAATGAAAAATAATTTATTTAGAAAATCTTATATTGACTTTATTCATTCTCATAGTTTTCTATATTTATATTTATTTTAATAAGAATTTATATATATATATATATTTTATACATATAAAATTCCAAATATAATACTAATTTTGTTTATTGACTTTTGTAGGAAAGTTTCATTACTAAAGAACGCAAGAATGTTATCAATTACCACGAAAATCCATTAGTCATAGACATTCCTGAAACAAAAGGACAGTTTCTAAAAATAAAGAAAAAATATTTGACTTCTAAATATAGATACGAGAAACAAACAAACCATGGATATTTTTACAAGTAAAACAACTAAGGAGTAATTTGTATGTCTCGCGCAGTTCGTTTTACCTTCTATTTTTATTTATTTACGAAGCGATACTGCACGAGGATAACAAGCAAGCTATCGCAATTATTTTTAGTTTATAACCTTTCATGCATTAAATAAATGAAAAACTATGCATATTAAATAAATAAAATTTACTTTTCTACCAATTATATTTTTTAAATAGCCGAACGTTAATAATACATAAAACGCGATAGTTTTTTTTCCATTATATACGCTTCACACTGCGTGGCAACCGGCGCAGTAGTCTGCGCAGTAGTCGGCGCAGTAATCTGCGCAGTAGTACCATTTAACACGACAGGGGGATGGAAAAATTTTGAATGAATTCAAAAAGAATTACATTTTTAAAATCTACTTTTAAAGATGAATGTTTCCTTTTAGAATTACAGATCAAACCAGAATGAGAAGAACAAATTAGCATTATGTGCAATTTTTGTACAGTAGAATCCTATTTATTTGAATTTCATTTGTTGAAACAAAGTTTCAATCGATGCCCGATTAACCTCCTAAGTTCCAAGCGTATCGCATAACGATCAAGGTTTAATTTGACGGAGGAGAGGAAGAATTTTACCAACCTGCAGGTGTAGAGATGATTCTTTCTAACCGATCGCCGAAAAAATCCTTTGCACCCGTCGCAAGATGCAGCGCCATAATGCTTCCCAGTTGCGCGGTCACCGCAGATCGCGCAATGCTGCGAAAGCACGCCACCTATCCCCGATCCTGGCAAACTGAGGACCGAACCCCCAGCTGCGCCTGCGCCCATGCTCAGATCGGCATCTGCACAAAACAAATTTACATTTGTTAATTATTTTATTTGAAATTCAGGGGAGAAATTGATCAAATCTTTCTTCAACACTGCAACTGTGTATGTTGTACACCAATTGAATCATCGTATATGCCACACGTCCTATCTATTCAAATAATCTACTAGCTGTTTATCATTTTCTATTTGCTCCGTTACTATTCCCTATCTCCTTATACACATTTATCGCAGTCAACTTACGTACTTTCCACATATTTACATATAAAGACACTGGAAATGCAGTAGGTTTTAGTCTTGAAAAATAAAGTCGTGTTATTTTTACTTCCTGTCAAACATGGCTTGAAATACCGTGATTTCCCAAGATTATAAGTTACGCGCTATTAATTTAGATTTCTAATCGATATGGCACTTTCATCTCTAAGTATACAGTTCAAACGAAATAACAAGAAAAAAAGTTGACTTTCCTTTTGGTATAAATATCAGTCAAATACTCGAAGAATATTCATCCAAATTGTAACAAACTTTTCTATTATCGAAAATCACAGGGTGAAATAACCTAACCCAATTAATAAACCAGAAAGTTAACTGCAAGCCACAGTCAGAATAATAAATGATCTACTTTCAAGCGAATTTACAAATAGATAGCCACTATCGTGGCTCTACAGATTGTCAATTCAGTCATTTGTCTGGAAATGTCTTCCCAGAAAACGATGAAATTAATGCCATATAAGTTCAAATGGATTGTAAAACTGATAACGATCGAACGTGCTATTTTTATTTGTTCCCATTTCAAATCAACAAACCTCGAACACGAATAAATCGATTCAATACCGATATCCCACAATTAACGGATAGCAAACGGACGTGCACAGGACAGAATAAAATATTTTTCGATATTTTGCTTCGAGAATAAGGATTATTTCGTTATCAGTTCGGGGCATATAAATAACGATATTTCGTTGATAAAGAACGTTGATATGTCGATCTCTTTTCTAGTACAGTTCCTTCACGAAACTTCTGCTAGTAATAAACCTACTGATAAGTCGCGTTCTTTATCAATCACTCACACAAACGTGCACGTACATACATTCAATAGTTTGTTGTCTTCTCGAGGACATCCTCGGGGAAATAGTTATAATCAGTCATATATTAATCCACGATAAAAGAGAATTTGCAAACGTAATGTTATTTAGACTCTCTATATCTTTCAACTGCTTCTTGTTCTTACTGGTATCCAGAGAAAATGAATTAGAAGGAACAAGTCTTTTTTGTTTCAAACGATCAGAGTGTATCACTCTGTATGATGGTCATAGGGCCAAATATGAAAATATTCGTTGTGTTTTCGTATTCTTGAAGACTATCGATGATCCTAAGAAATTCTAACATTTTCATAGAAATAAGGGAAGCGTCAGCGTTGCAACAATGAGCAGCTTGGCGGCGTAAACATTGGAGAGGAATCAAAAGTGTTAGCACTTGTCGAAACAAGAGTAAAAAAATTTGGCTGCTGCGCGTAACGTTGCAGAATGTGAAGAAATATGGAAGAAATGAAAGTTGTAAAAATTTCGATCAACCAGGAAGAAATACTAACTTTAACGAACGATATTATTTCCACGAGAACATGATACTGATTCAAACAGAGCTTAACAATTTAAAGACTACTAACAAAATTAAAATTATATTGTTTACATTACTACATATATTTATTTGAGAAGTAATCAAAGCGATAATATCTGTTTGAGAAGAATTATAAGCCGATAATCTCGAGAACGCTCGCGTAATTGAAGTAAGTTATGATAAAACTCTTTACTCTATCTAGAAATTAAAAAGATAAATTCTTTTGTACATTCGGATTTAGCCAACGTGACAGCAGAAGGCCAGTCATCGTCTACTTATATAATTTATATGAATTTAACTATAATTTAAACAAATGTAGATACATAGTGACTTGTAATTAGGCTACCACGATTATCAGTGTTTGAATATTTAAACTTGCTTGCTTGAAAAAAAAAAAAAAAACGATATTCGACGATATTATAATATTAAGAATGTTCTCGTAATGCGATGTATATATTGTTCTTTAAATATAATAACGACGATAATGAAACGATCATTATTTAATAGCACCGATTTATTCCACGTTTGTTATTTTCATAAACAATCAATTGAATTTTTATATCATTGCGATAGAGTTGTTACACAGACAATTATTCATTTTCACGAGGTGAAAACAACGAGTTAGGTCATCACCGGGTTAAGTATGCAAAGTAAGTGAAGGTCCTTGAGATAATATTTGAATACGTGATAAACTAAATGTGCGATAAACTATTGCAAAAAGTCCTCGAGCTCGCTACGAAATATCGATAACGTTGAATCTTCGAATAGCTATTATAACTCGAACCTAATTACCAACTCTTGTGTTATCATCCTAATTATATATTTCGTTTCGTACGCACGAAAAAATGATATATTATTTTATTTGCTAAAAAAAAAAACTTCTTGTAACTTACAGCTTACCTTTCTAACTTACATTCATCGAGTTATCGATTATGTAATACTTTATCATAAATCGAACATACGTCGTTGTGAACATCATTTCCAAAATTGATATTTCTGATTTCGAGGCGAGCAGATCTCACTAGGCGTTTGGCTACACAAATCCGAAAGTACCTTCGTTTATCAAATATCAACCGTATTATCGTCGGTCAACAGAAAGAACATCTCGAGAAATGGAAAAACGAGACTGTTGTAAAAGACAGTTTCATAATGCGGCAAGATAGGGAAAAAGAATGAACACTGACAGACGGAATGGAAAATGGTAAAGAGGCAATTAAAAACTAATGAAACTTGCCTTGTAAATTATTTCAAGGACCATTCGCAGTTTCTTTTTTTTTTTCTTTCGCGCCTTTTCTTTTCTTTTTTTTTTTTTTTTTTTTTGCGACACCTGCAACATGCTGTGAGCATGGAATATAAACGATTCCTGCATTATCGATCGAAATAAGACACTTTTTTTTCTCATTCATTCCTCTGACCCACTGACATCTCCGCTTCTTATCTCGCGGATTTTCCACGCATTCTGGCCGTGATAGATAGAGGAATTTTTTGGATAATAATAAACGCAGAGCAGACGTTATTTAACGCGTACCACTTGGACAAGGAATGGTATGATTCCTTTAAAAAACATTCTGTAAGATTGGGGTTTAACCATTCAGTCAGAATTGCTGTTTAAGTTACTTCACAGCCAGTGTTAGGATATCAAATAAAAAGATGTATGATCTCCTGTAATATCAACGACAAATATTTGTAAAAATTCCCCGAGACGTGAATAATAAAAGCGGATGAAAAAATTAATTGGATGGAATAATGCTTGACCTTAATGATAAAGTGGAAACCACTTGAACCACTGTTTCGATTCGATATTCAACGACTGTTTAAATGTTTTTAACACGAACGATAATTATAATTATAAATATCAATGATATCTCCAATTTTCTTAATTTTCATTTCATTTTGGATTTCAATTTCGTCCCGAACGGAAATATACATTAAACAATTTCTTAATCTTTGAATTTCGCGTTACACAATCTTATCGCACGGAAATTGTATTCATTAATTTCTGTTTAGATTTGCCGAGATGTAGTTCCTCAAAATTCCTCCGGGTTATCAATGTTTCATTCCCCGCTTGTATATTTTATTCCCACTGCAAAAATAAACAATTTCTATGCTCGTCTGATGATGCAAACGGTTAAAGTTATAACGAATCTATTTTTTTCGACAAGTTTGAAACGAGTTTAAAATGAAAGAGAAATTTATTGAATAAGCGTGAATATTTTTAAAACCATTTATTATTTATTAACTAACAATTTGAAACAGATCGACAAAGCTTTCATTTGATAAAATTCAGCTTTCGCAAACGATGATTCTTGCATAGAGAATCAATTTATTTTCAAGAACAATCTCCAAATGTTTGATGCTTTTAATCTACTGAATTTTTATTAAGTGGTGGTCAATTATTCATGCACTTGTGTGTTTGCCAAGTTTCTTATTAGGAAGTATGAAGTAAAATGAAAAAAAAAAAGAAAAAAAAGAAAAAATTTTATGAATCGCATTGAAAGCGCTAATTTGAAATTCATAATAGGTTTGTTTTATTATTGCACACTTCCTGTCAAGGGTACCAAGAAACAAAGTTCTCCGTGCGCAAAAATGAGAAAAAAATGTCAATTTGACGATGACGTGATTTCTCAATAATTATTAAAATCGAATAGCTTACAAAATAATACGCTCCACGAACATAAATTTTCTCAAACAGACATTTCGCCAGCTGATAAAAATGTTAAAAATATTAAGTTACAGTTAAAAATTTAATTATATATTCGATGTATTATTTTAAGAATTTTCTGAAAAAACAAATTTCAAATAAAATTATCTTGTCCATCCCTCTAAATTGACTGCATCTTTATATTAATATTATTCGCTTCTGCAATATAAGAGATATTCTTTTTCAACAAACAGCATAATACACGGAGCGTGATTATCATATATTGACAACGCATCGAAGCACACGATTATGCGAAATGTAATAAATCGATTTCGCGTCGCATGCCAAAGTGAACGAGACCTGCCTTAACTCGAGCCAAAGTCTAGTTCCTGACCCTATTCACTGGTATCTTCCGACGATTGTGTCTCTGATTATACGTCTCGATACTCTCTCAGCTAGTACAAATTTCATTCTAAACGTACGAAACGTTTCCGTTCGTAATTTGTAATTGAATGACTCAGAAATTCAAAGAGAGAGAGAGAAAGAGATAGAAACAATTAACATGTTAAAGGACGAAGCAACCTGAATTAATGTGAAAATTAAGTTGTAAGTAATGCTTTCTTCATAAAATATAAATATAAAAATATACATATTTTTTGAATACACATATATACATATATACACACGCGTACGAAATATCGCGAAGGAATGGAAAACAACACGTTTCCAACAAGACCGTGACACGTGTTAACCAATTAA